CGTCTCGTTGCAAAGAAACAAGCTCAGAGTTCTCATTGATTTAGCATTCTAGTCAGTTATAATGTTAAATCACTTTATATTCATTTTTTGGTATAACTGTATTTTATTTTGAAGGCATGTTTAAATACAATCAAATTTAAATTATTAAATCAAAACAATCTAAAATATAAACAATCAATGTCCCCCTCCCCTCAGCGGGCTGCGGTAAAATTATCAAACGTTGACCGGTCCGTGGCAATAAAAAGGTTGGGGACAACTGCTCTAAAGCTAAACCCCTAGTAACTGCATGAATAATATGGAAATCATTTTCCACTGCCATTTTGCAGAATATTTTCTTTTTCCTATTTCCAAGAGTATACTCCAGTTCTGGAGTTTCATGATGATCTCCCTTTCAGCTGCTAATATTTTTATGATGCCAGCAAAGGTTGTTTAAGTGCTTCCACTTTCTGTGACTTCTGCTCTTCAGGTACTGGATAAAGCACCAAATATGTTTGTGGAAAATTAAATTCACTACCTGGAGTTAGCAGGCATCTCTTTTTCTCCTGGGATGGAACATTTTGGTGTTACCTGGGAAGGAGAGTTAAAACAGCTGAAAGCAGAGGTGGGTTCCACATAATTTTACCACTGATTGGTTCACCACACACTGAAACTGTGAGCGCACGTACATGCATGCTCGCTTCGTGAGCACACATGCCTTTCATGCATGTGCTTTGCTCATGTGCATGGCTTGCATGCATGCGCATGGCTTAGGAAACATGACTAAATAAGATGACAAGTGCCCACCCGCAGGTCGCCATAACCAGTTTGCTTAAATCGGTCCGAATTGGCTGAATACTACCACTGGCCTCACCTATTCTTTAACTGATCATTCATGACATTTAAACCATTTTCTTTCTAGATTAGCCAGGCAAGCTCCCAATTCTTGTACAACTGTTGGAGAATTGTAAGGATATCCGTGAATCCTTTGTGGATATGCATATTGTGTTACTTCACGTTTATACTAAATAACTTATTTTACCCTTTTGTGGTCTATTGCTTCCTATGCTGGTAAACTACTCTAAAGTGTAAGTGCTTTTCAAATTAGGCATGATGCTAAACTTGTTACCCATTTGCAACAATTCTGTCAAACATAGCAAAAAAGATCCTAGACTTTCATCCTCTGTGAGTTTTAGAATGCGTATTTCATAGGGTCGATCCCTTGCCATTCCCGAAACTGGATTTGGAGAGATTGTTGTTTCTCCACTATGTGGCTGTTTTCATTTAAGAAGCANCATGTGAATCAGAAGAAGTATGAATCAGTAATGGTATTCTATTTTCTTCACTACCGGTTCAGTAATGGGAGTGTGCACGTCTGGGCATGTGCAGAACCTTCTGCACATGCGCAGAAGGTCTGTGATGACATCAGGGTGGGTAGTTGGAGCCTCGTACTACTGTCAATACCAGTTCGCCTGAACTGATACGAACCGGTAGAATACCATCTCTGGCGTTAATACTTTGAACTACTGCCTGTAAAAAGTGATGGCCTATGGCCAATTAAGTAATCTGAAATCCTGGCAAGGCAGAAATCTAGAAGGGGATGGTTCCCAGATATAGGAATTGGGAGATTTGTCTGACCTAAATGCAATTGCATTCCATCAGAAAAGCTTAGGTAGCTATAATGGTATGTAAAAATGACTTTAAGGGATGAGGGAAAAGAGATGTTGTTGAGGGAAAGATCAGAGGAAAGAGAGGGAGGAGCCCCCAGAGACATAACAGTCAGGGAAAGAAACTTAGGAAGGACCCAGCCTATTGATGAAGCTGTTAAAAGTGATTGTCAGAGATTTAAACTTTAGCAGAATTAATGTCATCCCTCTCAGGTAAACCAGACAGGAAATACAGTCCGATGAGCTAATTCTACTTTATTGTAAAGCTGCATTAACAGAATCTTGCAAGTCTCCAAATAGAAATCTCTAGGGAAGGCTAGGGCATGCTTCACTATTGGTTTTCTAAAAATGTGAACATCAGTCATTAATAAATCACTTTGATATCCTAAGAATGTAGATGATATATTTATACTACAACAGAGGAAATGTCAAATACATAGCACAGAAATCTAGAATGATAACTTCATTTCTATGTTTAGTAAATGACTGGATTAGGCTTATATGTTAGGTAAGATTTTATTTTTAATTCATTCTCTGTATCATTACACATATTTTACACTCCTGTGTTATATTAGCAGCATAAAAGTAAGATGAACATAAAATGTCAGAAGTAATGCACTTATGGAATATTAACCCTCTCCTAATCGAGTTCTCATTCTGCCGATAACATTTATCTTCATGCTGTAAAGTACTGTGTATTCTTGATCTTAAGCTGTCGTGACAAACATATAAGCCTCACTTATCAGCATGAAACACATGAAACTGACCATCGAAATAAAAATTATTCTCACAGCTGTAAATAATGAGTTGAAGTTAGGGTGGGTTCCGGCAGAAACTACTGCGGGTTTGCTCAGGGGCGCGCCGCACACGCATGTAACTAAAATTGCTCTGCGCATGTGCAGAAGCAAAAAAACAAGATGCTGGGAGAAGTTATGGGAGAACTGATTCAGGAGCAGGGTAGGCCTGGGTCACTGCCAGTTCCAGTGACCCAGGTTGCCAAGCTACTACCAGTTCAGCCGAACCAGTCCAAACTGGTAGAAACCCACCATTGAAGTGTACTACATATTTGTATAAATTAGAATTATCAGATCTGGACTGCAAAAATCTGGACTAGCACTAGATTGCAGCAAAAATAGTTTTAATTGCATCGCTTTGATGAAGAAATTCCAGATGAACATAGGAGTCTAATAGAATACATGCAACTGTTTATTTAATATTTGCTCATGTGTGTGTTTGTGCATATATGTATGTGCATGTATAAATACACACATGCATAAACACATACATATACACAACCTTTAAAATCAGTCAATGAATAGTAGCAGAGAACAATGTTTTCATCCAATCTCTATTTATTCCCCTTCTGCAATGCAATGTGTTTCAGTGGAGAAAAGTAACAGGTATCAAAGGCTGGACAGAGCATAACTTGCTGTGAGAAACATCAACCTTTTTTTCTTTGTTCAAAAATTACAACTTGGGACTCCTTTCCTCTAAATAAATTTATCCCATTCAGATCAAACATAGTTAATTTATTTTCCAGTAATCACCAAAAAATATCACATAAGATACATATTGTTTAAGTAAATGTTATTTTGATATCAGCAGTATATTCCACTTCTTGTCTTAAACACTTTTATCCTTTTATTTCAGCTTACTAGCATTGGAATCTTTAGTATTAAAGTACTACCATGGTCAATTTTTTAAAAAGGAAAGAAAATTCTATTAGTAACCAAATTCTATAGGTAGGTTAAAAAGTCTATGTTCCAATTCGTGTCTTCCAGAAGCTTCCTATAAAACATGGAAACAGGACTTTCTATCTTATTTTGTCTTCTAGAAAAAATATTAATGATACAATGCAATTCACTTTTGCATTGGAATCCACAAAATAAATTGAAAGAAACTTTTTTTAAAATCCATTGAGACTTTGGAATTCTTCAAAACACATTCAGGCTAACAGTTCTTAGAATGCAGGGACTCTACTGAATTAAGGACTGGGCCAGCTTTTCCTCATGAAATGTTTTCCTTAAATAATAATGGCTAGTTATCATCATTTTAATACTGTCCTATAATGATGACCTGTAATAATAATGGTCACCTACTATCACAACTAATACAAATTTGATATTCTTTAATCAAGACAGTTATCCTCATATATAGTAGCAGTAACATAAGTAAAATTGGGCCTTAATGTCTAGGAATGAGAAGTCTACTTCTCTTTGGGGAAGTAAACATGAGGAAAATTCAGTTTCCCTTATCTTTATGTTTTGTAAACAACAGTATTCCTCTTTCTATAAATTCAGAATGGGAATGGACAAAAAGCATATCAAAGTCTTCTTGTAAGTCTTGGTTGATGTGAACATAAACCATAAGGTTTTTTGAATCTTGGTAACTTATCATGGGAAGGGCAAAATTACTCCACAATTAAATGTGCAGAAAAGTTCTCTGATATACCAACACACTACTGGACTTACAGGTGACTTTCATTCCACTTTGGAGATCTTACACTATTGGTCAAGAAAAAAATAGACCATATGTTCACTTCCTGCCTTAGCCAAGAAAGACAGATAGGTGATTTAGAGCCAGTCATCTCTCTCAGCCCAATTCATCTCACAGGGTTGTTGTGGGAAAATAGGAAGAGCAAAGGGTGTTGGATATGTTCGCTGCCTTGAGTGATTTATAAAAACAATAAAGGTGGGATACAAATAAATAAAAAATAAATACATAAAAATCAGAAAGAGTTTAGAGTTTTATTTCATTTGTATGCCGCCCTTTTCCCTAAGTGGACTCAGGGCGGCTCACAACTCAAAAAGGGAAGGGGGAATACAGACAGTTTAACAACAACACAAAACAATACATANCCCACTCAGTGTCATCATAGCCTTCTTCCTGGTTAGCCGCATCCAAGCAGAAGAGTTATGTCAGAGTAGGCAGTTGCACCTGAGTAGAAGAGTTACGTCAGAGTAGGCAGTTGCACCCGAGTAGAAGAGTTACTTCTGAAGAGGCAGTTGCACCCAAGGAGAAGAGTTACTCTGCAGAGCGGTGAGGGAAGCCTTACAGAGCCACATGCAGCTACAGGCTCTGCCAACATCAGAGAGTCAACATCAATGTGGCAGCATTGGTGGTGTGTAAGCATGGCTGAGCAGGCGTGGCGATGGACGGGCTCCCCCCTGAATGGCAGCCCGAGGGCTGACATAATGTTTGTCCCTAGTTAAAAGATAGAGAGCCAGTTTGGTGTAGTAGATCAAGAAACAGTTGAGAAACTGTGTGTGTTTAGTTCCACCATAGGCACAACACCATCTGGATGTCCTTGGACCTGTTACTTTCTTTCAGCCCTAGGAAGGAAACATGGCAAACCACTTTTAAAGAAATCTTCCCAAGAAACCTGCATGGACAGGTATTCTCTGAGAACTAGATACAATTGAACAGAAGAAAAAAAATCAAAGTTTAAAAAGTGTGGTTTATATTATTCCAACTTTTACAAATTAGTTATACACCTTCATAAGCTGCAGTATTTCAAAAGATTCCCCAAAAAGCAAACAAACAATATATCAATACTAATAGAAATAGCAATAGGACTTTTATACTGCTTTATAGTGCTTTACAGTCTAAGCGGTTTACAGAGTCAGCATATTGTCCCAGACAATTTGGGTCCTCATTTTACCCACCTCAGGAGGATAGAAGTCTGAGTCAACCTTGAGCCTGGTGAGATTTGAACTGCCAAATTGCTGGCAATCGGCAGTTAGCAGAATTAGCCTGCAGTACTGCACTCTAACCACTGTGCCACCATGGCTCATCATATAAAAGATATAAAGGCTAGACGCCAATGAAATAAAGAAATATTACTTGTGTGCATGTAATCCACTTTTTTCTATTTAGCTCACCTCCCATATCCTCCCCAAGACTCCCAATGTTATGCATATTGCTTTTGTCTATGTGAAATGACTAATAGGGGTTACAGAATAGTAAAGGTCAAGTTTAAAAGCAGTAATGAAAACTCCAAAGAATCAAAGATTGATCTGCAGTGTTGTCCAAGGCAAGTCAAAGTCTCCGTGGTCACATGGCACAACTAAATGCCGAAGGCGCATGGAACACTGTTACCTTCTCAGCAAAGGTATTTTTTCTACTTGCATTTTTACATGCTTTGGAACTTCTAGTTTGGCAGAAGCTTGGACAAATATGGGAGCTAACTCCGTTACATGGCACAAGGGATTCGAACCTCCCAACTGCTGACTTTTTTGATTGCCAAGCTCAGCGTCTTAGCCACTGAGCCACCACATCCTTGTAATCTCTTGATTCCTAGAACATTTATTTCAGAAAAATAGCAGGTCCTCATATCATCTACCATCTACATCTACCATCTACAAAAATATCAGCTCATCATATCATTTAATTTCTCTGGTTTATCAGCTACAATCTCTGTTCTTGTTGGGGGATGAGTAATATTCAAAACACTCATTTCTTCTACCTACAAACTTCTACCTAAATGCCTTCTGGAGTTTATAACAAAGATAGTAGAGTCCTTGATGCTTTCTGAGTTTGAATGTTTGCAGCAGACCGTACATATATTCTCTCCTATTGGAAAATAAGAGATTTGCATCAATGTAAACAAGGGCATGTTGTCCCATTTCTGTAAACAACCTTCACATTAGGCAAATATTTTAAACATCTTTGACATTTACTTAAAAATATTAAAATTCTAGGATAAATTCTGTTTCATTGCAAAAAGAAGATAATCCAAATATCTCAAACTTTTATGTCAACATATGTGGACGAAGGTTATCCTTAGTAATAAGTTATACAGAGTTATTCTTCTCTTATATGTCATGAATCTAAATTAAACCAATGAGGAAATTCTTTGTTAATTCAAGTAGATAAATTAAAGTTGCATTAATAATAATAAATAATAAAGATAAAGATAAATGAAGATTGGTGAATAAATAATAAAGATAAACTAGATAACAGCTTACTGTATTTAACATACTGAGTAACACTTCCTAAAGAAACTGAGATCCCCCAAAATAATCAAGCCACTCCCTGAAATGTGACATTTGATTAACCATATCTTTTCTTTAATTAGTATATCAACAAGTTAGCAAAGATGTCCTGGTACATTGAATTGCAGGTTGTGTGAGCCCTTGTTTATCTTCAAAATATAGCAGTGTGATGAAGATAAATTCAGTCTTTCCTTTTTCACTAGACAAACAGTGCACATTTGGGATGTGTTTTTGATCCTCAAAAGCTCTTCCATTAAGTTGAAAGAGAGATTCAGAAGGTTTTTGATGTTTTTTGATAGATGTCAGATTGGAAATGTCCACTGTGAGACGTTATTTGAAACAGAAGATAACAACTGGGGACTTAAATTTAGACCTTGAAAAGGCTGGAAAGAGGAGGGAGGGAGGGAGGGACAGAGAGAGAGAGAGAGAGAGAGACAGAGAGAGAGAGAGAGACAGAGAGAGAGAGAGAGAGAGAGAGACTACAATGAGACTCAACTGTCCTTGGTACATATGTGATTGTGAGGACCCGGATTGTTGTTGGGGGCGATATGCTGACTCTGTAAATCGCTTAGAGAGGGCTGAAAGCCCTATGAAGCAGTATATAAGTCTAACTGCCATTGCTATTGCTATACTCAGACATTGCTCCAAGGGAAACATGTTTCAATGCTTCCAAAAGGTTTAAATTATCTGACAAAGCATAACAGTTTTTGTCAGATAAAAATGAANTAGTTAGTTAGTTAGTTAGTTAGTTAGTTAGTTAGTTAGTTAGTTAGTTAGTTAGTAAATTTATAGGCCACCCAATTCCGAAGGACTCCGGGCAGCTTACAAAGCAAAAAGAAGAGAAATTAATAAAAAATAAAGGAAACAATGTAAAAACATCACACATGCACGCAATCTGATTAGGGCTGGACCCCAGCAATGAGGTCAACAGCCCCAGGCCTGCCGGAACAGCCAGGTTTTAACAGCTTTTCGGAAGGCCATGAGAGTGGGCAAGGTCTGGATCTCTGGGGGTAGCTCATTCCAAAGGGTTGGAACAACCACAGAGAAGGCCCTCTTCAGATGCCGTCAGCCAGAAATCTGAAGGAGGCCCACTCTGTGGGATCTCACCATAGAAGAAGTAGAAGAAGTGAAGATGGTTTACAAGAATAGAAAGGTATGGAGTAACATAGCAAATAGTAAATGAGATTTACTACGAACACATCTATCTCTGTGGTCACTAGGAGTCATAGATGACACAATGACACATAATCATAATCAAATCAAATGAGATTTAGATATATTTCTTTTCTTGTTCTTAATCACATGCTTTTAATTTCTTTGATATGTTTTCTGTGCTTGCATAACCCTACCCACTCTAGAAAGGAATAACATGATGGCTCTATCTGCATGCGTATGCACTGCTGTCTTTTCAAACTTCACAGAAAAGGTGTCTCAACTCCTGAATGCAGAAATAGAGTCAAATATATCTTATTCATGTCAAGATGTTTTTTAATCCTTTCTTTTTAGATATGATCTCAAGGAGAATGTTGTTATCAGGTTAAATATTTTATTTTTTTGAACTTGTTGAAAAAAAATATAATCTAAATTACATTTACAGGAATATTCTAGGGAAAAATAATTCAGAATTTTGATGATAAGAAGAACCTATTACAGAGATAGCTTTACAGATTTTTCTGTTTAATCCCACCAGAGACATCAGAGAAGCCATTAACTCAGAAATATGCTACAGGGGAGGGGAGCAAAATAATTATCCCTCTTTTGTTCCCTATCATTTTTCTTCCGGCCATTTTTCTGCAGGTGCAGAATCTGCTTTTTTGGGTCAACTGAGTGGGACCAGCTTGTCACACAAAGTTGATGTCATGGATGTAGAGAAGTGTCCCAATGTTACCCAACTGGCTTTCATGCCTAAGTTTGTACTACAACTGACAACCTTTTGGTTTCTAATTTGATATCTGAACTATTAAATTAAACTGACTCTCACCCCACTTGCCTATTCATCCTTCTTTTTTGTGTGTGTATCCCATGTAGAGATTTTACAGCAAGCTAATCAAATCTAACAGTACCAAGCTTTAAAAAAAACATCCCAATTTCCACAAGCAGGATTGGTGGGAAGGGGGGATTTCTTTCTCCTTCAAGGTGATGTCAGAATGGGTGTCCAGTTGGGGAATGTGGAAAATAAAGGCTGTTGAGGGAGATTTGAAAGGAGAGTATGGTTTAAAGTGTCTTTCAAGCTGTTGTGAGGTTTAAGAAGTCTGATGTGTGTAATTAATTAATGGACTGGTAAGATTTTGAGTTAGATACTGAGGTGGGGGGAGGCTTACTGGTGCCATAGGACCTCTGGAACCAGTTTGATCCCTTTAGACAGCTGATAGCTGACTATCTGGAACAGTAGTGAGAATGAAGGTACCCGGGTCATTAGAAGTACTGGCCATTGTGCATGCATAGGGAGCCAGAGAGGGGGCCTTGAAGCAAATATTTAGAAACTGTTATTAAACAAAGAGAACAAAAGCATTCTGTTTGTCCTGGGAAGGGAGACCGTATTAAGAAAATACCTGAGGTGGCTGCTCCTTGACTCACTCATGTACAAAATGGAGGGAAAGAGAAACAAAATCAGATTTACAAGGCTATGTTGCTATTGTTGTTAGTTGCAAAGTCGTGTCTGACCCATTACAACCCCATGGACAACGTTCTTCCAGGCCTTCCTGTCCTCTACCATCTCCCAGAATCCACTTAATACTGCTTTGGTGACTCCATCCAGCTACCTCATTCTCTGTCACCCCCTTCTTATTTTCCCGTCAATCATTCCCAGCATTAGGCTCTTCTCCAGTGGCCATTTCTCCTTTTCAATGGTGGCCAAAGTATTTGAGTTTCATCTTCAGGATCTGGCCTTCTAAATAGCAGTTAGGGTTGATCTCCTCTAGGACTGACCAGTTTGATCACCTTGCAGTCCAAGGGACTCACATGAGTCTTCTCCAGCACCATCGTTCAAAGGCCTGAATGTTGCTATAGTTCATCACAATAAAGCATTGTCCTGGTCTTCTTGTGGAGTCTGTTTCCTGATCTGGTCTACCTCCAAGGACTGTCAGGACAGTATCATCAATGGTTGTGACCCATTCAACATCCATTCATCAGTAGCAAGATTGATCTGGCAGTAAGCAGTGGAATATGGTGATCGGGATTACCAGGGGTTGCTGACTGGAGAGTTGAGTGGAGTTTTGTAGGATAGTAAATATTGCTGCTGGTATTTCTTGCAATCACAGTTAAGTGAACTAATGGCCTGTTAACATTTCTAGTGAGATGATTCCTTTGGGGTTGGAGTTTAGTCATGTGGCTGACTCAGAATGGCAGACTCTCTTACATTCTAAACTCTATAGTGAGAGAAACTAGA